AGTTTAGTTCTTAGCGAGTACAACCCTAGTTTTGTATCCCTCGACATTTTCCCTTAGTCACCACTTTTCCCGCTTCTCTAACACCTTCTACAGTAGGATCCAATAATGTAGCACATCTACCAAGCCTAATCAATCTTATATATATAATATATGACTTGCCACACCCCCTATGCTTGGTATTTGCAAGCCCACCCAACACGCAACACCCCCAAACCCTTGCACCCCCATGTCCTGCAGCAGCTGTGGTGTCTACCAGCGGGTCGACCCCTTGGCAATCTAGGCGGCGACGTCATCGGCGGGTCGCAGCGGCGGCGGCAGTGTCGGCAACTGCGGCGGCGGCGGTGGTGTCAAGGCACCCGGCAGCGGCGGCGGCTGCGGTGCGCGAGGCACCCGACGACGTGGCACACATTGTGACGACGGGGGGGGAGGATGGCACGAGACCTCCAGCTCCTGCGGTGGGGAGGAGGGGGAAATGTAGAGGAGGGGGGGGGGGGGGTCTTTAGCGAGGCGCCGTGACTGGCGCGGCGCTGGCTTGCGTGCGGGCGTCATGGCTAGCGCCTAAATTGATGCGCGGCCCGCTGCCGCCCATGCGCTGGCGCGTCGACGCCGCCACGGCAGCACGACGACGCCGTCACGGCATGGTGTCGATGCCATGGCAGCGCGTCGGGGCTGCCACGGTAGCACGATGAAGCCTCCATGGCAGCACAACATGGCCACCACGGCGTTGTCGAAGGTTGCCATCCTGTTCAAAACACGCACGGAGGGGGTAATTCGAAAATCGCGGAGCTGGTGCTTACCAGAATCGGCGTCGAATTGGTCGCCCCCGGCGGTTTTTCGAGGCAGAATCCCCGTTGCTGCTGCTTAGCTGAGCGCGGTCGAGTGAGAAAAGCTCTGATTACCAAGTGTCACAGGATCGAATGTCTCGAGGAAAGATTGCACTATCGATCAGTACAGGGCGCTTTTATACTTCCAGAGTACATCAGGTAACTAGGTTTATCTTATCCTAGGGGAATAGACCCTTCTAGAAGATAGAATCACCCTGCGTATAGCCACGCGAGGCTATTGGCTTTAAGGGATTACAGCAGGATTACGCTAGATAGAGCGCACCAGTACATCCCAAGCCTGGTCGGGTGATATAATTATAATAGCAGGATAAACCAAAGGTTAATGGAAAAGGAAGAATAGGAAACCAAATGAGATGGAATAAAAGAGAAATGAAAAAGGAAGGAAATAAGAAAAGGCCAAGTGGTGTAACGAGGTCGTACTCTCACAGTTAGTGACCGCAGTGACAAGGACGTCAAGGCTCGAAACCGGAACAGACGGGTCGGTAACGAGAGAGGTAAGAACCCGAGGAACAAAGGGGACGAGCGGCACGCAGGTAGTCAGACAGAGGGGGGGGAGCAACGAGGGAGGACGGAGGGGGCGACGGGAGATGGGGAGGACGAGACGCGTGGGAATGAAGCAACATAGGGTGAGAGCGCGAGACAGGGGAGACAGGTCGAGCACGGGAGGGACGGCGAGACCAGACGTGAGACGGAGGAGTCGGGTCAGGAGACAGAGGAGGGGACACAAGAGGGGAACGAGGGGGGAAACAGGCCGGAGACAATTCCGGAGGAGGGAACACAAGGCCGTAGACAGGAGGAGGAGGAGGCACAGGCGCGGGGTCAGGGGACAGAAGGCCGAGCAGGCGAAGCGCAGACACCGGCAGGGACTTCTGCGGCGGCGGTGTGATACCGACACTGGGACCGCAAGCTGCTTGGGGGCTACCTCCAGTACACTCCACGCCAGCACCCCCAGAAGGAACACCCCCATAGCTTAGAACCCCTCGAGCACCGGTACCACCCCCAGGCCTGCCGGGACAAGCCACGACAGGAGTCCCACGACGATTACCCACCCCAACTCCAGCACCCCCAGAGGCAACGAACTGCTACGACGACAGCTGCGGCGGCGGCGGCTGCAACGACGGCTGCGGTGGTGTCAGCGGCGGTGACGACGGCCGCGACAGCGGTGGCGACGGCGGCTGCGGAGGCGGCGGAGGAGGAGACACCTGAGAAGAGGCAGGCGGCGAGGACTGCGCCGCAGGACCACCAGAGTCAGCAGACTCCTCAACCGGGACCACCGACGTAAGTGGGATGACGTGGGACACACTTGAGGGGTAAGGACGGGGAGGGGGAGGAGGAGGGGCGGCGACGATCGGGGAAGGGGTGACCAAGAACAGGGGGGGGGTAACCGGGGGACCTCGATGGGGGAGCCGGCGGAAGAAGGAGACAGACTCGTCAAAGGTGACGTCACGGGGGTGAAAGAATCGGTGAGACGGCGGGTGGTAGAAGTGTCAGTCAGACGCGTCAAGGGGGAAGCTAAGGAAGACACAAGGAAGGGTGCGGGCAGTGAGCTTGTCCGTGCCAGAGGCACGAACGTGAGCAGGCAGCCCCAGATGCGGAACGCAGACGCGTCACCAGGTGACCCAGACCAGAGGAGGGTCGGCGAAACCTGAGGCTGCTGGGGGTGCGGCCACAGGTTAAGCTGGTGAGTGGCGTAGCGAATGGCGACCGGCCATAGAAAATGGGGTGCCCCGGCATGGATCATGGAGGTGCGAGCCACCTCCATGATCAAACCGATGCGTCGCTCAGCGACCCCATTATGCTGCGGGGAGTCCGGCAAGGTGAACGTCTGGGTGATGCCCTCCGTACGACAGAAACGACCAAGGACACCAGAGGCAAACTCGCCACCACGGTCAGAGTGGAGGCGCAAAACAGGGAGACCGCGACGGACACGCGCAGCGATAAGCCACGGGATAAGAACGTCAGGCACGTCGGCCTTCCGCTCCAGGGGGAACACAGTGGTGTAGCGCATGTAGTCGTCGACAAGCACAAGGAAGTAGCGCTCTCGACGCAGCCCATGGACGGGGGCGGGGCCCCAGACGTCCATGTGCAGAGTCTGTAGCGGTGCGGCGGTAGGGGGAAACGAGGAGGAGTGAGGAGCACGGCGAAGCCGGCCCTCGACACAAGGCGTGCAAGGTGGGGTAGGGGAGGAGGGAAACTCAGAGAACGACCCTACGAGTGGCCATCCTGCTGCTGACCAGTGAGTTGGCGACGGAGGTCAGCAAACCACGCATCAAACTCATTCGGCTAGCCCTCAGCGTCAAAGCAAAGCACCGCCGCCATGAGTGACAATACAGGGCAGTGTAGAGTAGGAGAGTGCGGTGCAGTGCTGTGTAGTGCGGTGCAGTACGGTACAGTGCGATACAGTGCAGTACAGTGCGGTGCAGTACGGTACAAAGAGGTACAGTGCGGTACAGTGCGGTGCAATGCGGTGCAGTGCAGTGTAGTGCGGTACAAAGCGGTGCAGTGCGATGCAAAATGATGCAGTACGGTACCGGGGGGGGTTCGGAGGGCGGTGCTGATCGGGAAGAACGGGCCGAACCCGAGGCAGCGGCGGGCCGGCGACGGCGCGAATGCAGGGGCCGGCCAACGGGCGGCAAGTAGACAGCGCCGCGACGGCGGCCAGGGACAGCCGCAACGGCGGCCAAGGACAGCCGCGACGACAGCCAGGGGCAGCCGCGACGACGGCCAAGGACAGCAGCGACGGCGGCGAGGGGTGGCCGCGACGGCAGGAGCGACCGTAAGGCGGCTGGAGACGGCAGCGGCGGCGGCTAGGGGCGGCCATGACGGCGAGGGGCGGCCGGGACGATTAAGGGCGGCCGAGACGACTAAGGGCGGCCGAGGGACGGCAGGAAGCGGCCGCGACGGCGGCTAGAAGCAGCCGCGACGGCTAGGGGCGGGCTCAAACGGCCAGGGGGCCGGCTAGGGACGGGAGTGAACGGCCAGGGGGCCGGCTAGGGGCGAGCGCGACGGTCAGTGGGGCCGGCTAGGAGCGATCGCGATGGCCAGGGGGCCGGCTAGGGGCGAGCGCGACGGTCAGGGGGGGCCGGCTAGGAGCGATTGCGACAAGCAGGGGGCCGGCTAGGAGCGGGCGCGACGACCAGGGGGCAAGCGAGAGATGGCCGCGACGGCTAGGGGGCCGGCTAAGGGCGAGCGCGACAGCCAGGGGGCCAGCTAGGGGCGGGCGCGAACGGTTAGGGGTTGGCTAGGGACGGGCGCGACGGTCAAGGGGCCGGCTAGGAGCGACCGCGACGGTCAGTGGGCCGGCTAGGAGCGGGCGCGACGGCCAGGGAGCCAGCTAGAGACGGGCGCGACGGCTAGGGGGCCGGCTAGGGACAAGTGCGACAGCTAGGGGCCGGCTAGGGACGGGCGCGAACGACCAGGGGGGCGGCTAGGGACGAGAGCGAACGGCCAGGGGGCCGGCTAGGGACGGGCGCGAACGGCCAGTGGGCCGGATAGGGACGGGCGCGAACAGCCAGGGGGGCGGCTAGGGACAGGCGCGAACGGCCAGGGGGCCGGCTAGGGACCAGCGCGACGGCCTGGGGGGGCCGGCTAGGAAGGTAGGGGCGGAAGCGTGAGCGGGCTAGGGGGGGATCTAACCCAGTATGATACCATATCAGAAAGAAAATGATTGAACTAGAATGTGTGTGTACAAGGATATATAGACTAGGGTGTTGTACGCTCTAAGGCACAATCCAGTATAGTTTACAGTAACGGCATAAGGTACATTTGACAGGGCAGGGGGCTTGACAGCTTGTTATCGGTGGAAACCCGGAGTAGGGCGAAGGTGAATATCAAAGTTTAGAAATGACAGATTCACAGATTGTCGGTAGATGTAGGAACACCAGAGCGAATCCTAACCGTGTGATGCACAGGTTCGGAGACGGCATACGAGGACGCGGAGCGGTTCGGAATGACGCGGACTAGTTCGGCGTAGCGTGTAAGGTGACGGAACTAGAGACTAGTTCGGTGCCATGTACGTTTGGTGAACCCGCTAGCAGTGCGCCTCAGTAAGGAATTACGAATTCCTTACACAGCTAGGCCTTTGCGAGTCAACGCGGCTCTTCCCATGCTCTTCACGGCCACCAAGACTTCAGAGGAAACTTTGGAAGTCCCAGAATCTACATTCACGTGGAATATCCAGCACTGCTGGCATCCCTCGTGTCATCCCTGCAGCCGTTCGATCACACCACACGCATTTTCGAGCATTAGCGGAGGAATGACAGTTTTCGGGGGCTAGCATCTCGGCCACTGCATCCGTCCTTCCTAGGGGCAACATCACGCCATGACTGCTACGAGCGGCCCTACTCGTAGTGCTTCGCCAAGAACTAGAAGGCTCCTTCGCTTTCTTCACTTCGTTCGCTTCAGCATCTTTCTTGGAGCAGCCGCTGTTCCTCACAGAGTTCGATTCCCATCATCCAGCGTGCAGTCCTCGATGCACATTGTTTTCGTCTCTTGTCGTCTCTTTGACTCATGGCGTCCAACAGAGTCTGCTGTCTCGCGCTCGCACTCACGCTCGTTCTGCTGGGAGTGGCTCGACTCCCTCGATCGCGTGCCGATGATGTAACACAAGGTGTGGGTGCACGTGCGATGTGGGTGCTTAGTGCGACTCGGAGGAGGGTGAGAGGTAACAATGGAGGAATAGCACATCAGCTGCGTAGTACCTGCTGGGTCGAACCCAGTCCGCTAGCTCGTACTACTAATGGGCATGCGTTTCTACTTAGCAGGTCAGCGCGCCCATATCCGCAGGCTGGACGACTGGGCGGCTGGGCGGCGGCTGCATCAGTGAAGGACCCACTTTTCATGAAAAAACGACCGCTAGTCACACTTCTAACTTGTAGTACGTTCTCACCCCTCCAAACGACCGTTCGTCCCGTGCTCATGTTGGCCCCCTGCTCCCTACCCCATTCCCTCTTCCCCCTTCCCCCTGCCCCCTTCCTCCTTCCCCCTTCCCCCTTCCCCCTGCCCCCTTCCCCCTTCCCCCTGCCCCCTGCCCCTGTCCCTGCCACCCTGTAGGCGTGGTGATGGCGCAATTCGTCCCGTGCGGCCTCCTGGACCACTACACTGACTTCACTAGCCCCTCCTACTGCGACGTCGATGGCGTCTCCTGCGACGGCGGCAGGATGATAACCTCCATGTAAGCCTCGTCTCCGCGAGTCTCGGAGGACTACTGCTACTAGTAGCTAATAATCTTCATCATGATGCATGCCTAGTAGTACCAGGAACGGATTTCGTCAGCTCATGGGTCCTCCTCACGCCTTGGAAGTTATGCCGCTGGAACAAGCCGTTGCTTCATCTACGCGTCACGAGCGCCCCCCTTTCATTTTCCTTTCTTCTAGAAAATAATTCCCAACGTCCCCACGTGTCGCTCACGGTTTCAACCTGAATTGCATGGCCGCATGCTGTGTGTTTTGGGTGTGGTCGCCGCGCATGATGATGCATTATCGCCATGCTGCTTGTGCTTTTCACAGAGACTTCCATCTTCGCTCCCTCTCCGGCTGCACCATTCCCAACACCATCAGCAAGCTCACTACTCTAACCAGACTGTAGGTCCCGTGTGTGAGTGTGTGAGGGGATACCATGCCTCAGTCTATTATGTATCCACCACCATCGTGCGGCATTCGTTGTTGTGCACGACCAAGCGTTCTGTCAAATCGGATGCTATTCTCGCTTGCAGTACCCTTCCCTCTCCGTCTTCAATGCGCACGCAAGTGCTGCATGAGGCGGCAGCAGATTGATGGCAAGTGTCAATACGCTCTTCAGAAAGTTCAAGAAATTACAATGTGATAAAAAGGAAAGTCTCAAGTCGCTTCAGCTTTCACACCCCTTCTTCGACCTTGCGTGCATGCAGTGTCCTCTGGGGAAATGAGTTCACTGGCAGCATTCCTTCAGGGCTTTCACAACTGAAATTACTCCAATATCTGTAAGTGTAGCCAAAGAAGCCAAGAGGAGCTAGTATGAAATGTAAAAGGGCACACCCTTTGGCCTTGAGTGCCCTCCTTTTTGTGTACGCCCTTTCCTCCGCTTATGCATGTCATTTGTCGTCACCTTGCATGTTGCAATCCATATCCTCCTCTCCCTGCGCATGGCATGATGTGTGCAGGCACCTGGAGGGCAATCTGCTCACTGGCAGCATTCCCTCAGAACTCTCCGTACTCACGAATCTCACGAACCTGTGAGCTGCCTTTGTTTCACCCTACACGAGAGACAAGCAGGAAAGGAACGAACGGCCGAGATCCTCTCCACACCCTCATTCACATCATTGGCCCGCCCGCATCGCAGCCCTAGCAGCCCCTGCTATTACCCCCACAGTGTGATCCAGGTCACGAACTTAGTGAAGTCAGTTGAATCAACACGTTGATTTTCTTCCACTAACCAAAGGTGTCCGCCATCGTCTTTTCCTCGTCTTTTCCTCTCGTGCCGCCATCGTCTCTGTGTTCATTCACCTTTCTCATGGTTGTCACCCCACGCTTGTGCGGTTTCCTCGTTGCTGCAGCTACCAGCCGTAGTCTTTGTATTCATTCACCTTTCCCCATCACCCATGGTTGTCACCCCACGTTTGTGTGCGCCCCCTCGTCGTTGCTGCAGCTACCTGCGAGGAAACCAGCTGTCTGGCACTCTTCCTGCCTTCTTGGGCCGGCGATATCCAAACCCCATATATGTGTAATGGCAAACCGTCGAGCGGGGCTTAGAATAAGTGGTTGGAAGGGAGTGCGTGAGTGAGGGTAGGAGTGGGGGAGGGGTGCTGTGCTAGGGGACCACAGAAAGAGGGGCGAGAAGCACCTCCACATACTTTACAACGCACCTCCAAATATTTTGAGACACCTTTTGGTTGCACGCATCCCCTGCTATCTCTTCATCCCACGACCTTCCGTGCCCGTCCGTCCCCACCCCATGGCTCTCCTGTCGCCCTATCCTTCCAGCGAGGCTGACTGGGACTCGTTCGTGTGCCCTCCCAACAAGGGAGGCTGCACGGTGCCACAATTTCCGTACACAGCTTTCTGCTCCAAGTGTGGGGGCTTCTGCTCCACGTGTAGCCCTTCCTCCAGTACGTGCGGACCTCTTAATGACCATGGGATGGATGTACAGTACGCTTCTAATCACACCAGTCCAGGGAGTATTACAATACCTACCAGTGTTTAAGGGACAATCGGCATGCTGTGCCTCGATAATAACTAGTTGCCTGGCTGGCTACTGCAACAGTCATGTTACCTCATGTGTTACATATGCCGTCCATGTACGAGTCACCCATTCTGTCCAACCTGCGTTGCCTTGTCTGGTCCATTCTGCAGTGTCAGCTGCTGGAGAAGGCTCCTCTCCGAAGTTAACCCCTGGGGAAATTGCAGCCATTGTGGTTGCCTCTGTCGTCTTCCTTCCTTTCCTGCTTCTCATGGTGTACCTGACTTACGTCCGCGTTAAGGAAGAGAGGGAGAAGAAGAGGAAGGAGAGGGAGGGGAAGGTAGCGGAGGAGGCGGAGGTGATGGAAGCGGGAGGCGGTGAGGGGGAGAGTGGGGAGGGGGGAGTGGCAAAGGCTGCTGCGGAGAGTGCTGATGAATGGTTGTCCCTCAGAAAGAGCAGTGGTGGTAGGGTAGAATCAGCAGCAGGGGAAGCAGCACTACCAGCATTGGCACCAGTAGCAGCAGCAACCACAGCAACAGTGGCTGGAGCAGCAGCAGGAGGTGCAGCAGCAGCAGCAGTGGGAGTGGACATGCCTGGAGTGGCAGCACGAGCAGGGGGGCGTTGGAGGTGGTTCTGGCAGCCACCTTCTGCTCCTTCCGTAGAAGAGGCAGCAGCAGCAGCTCATGCCGCAGCTGTTGCAGCCGGAGGAGCAGCAGTGGCAGCAGGAGGAGCAGCAGCAGTAGGAGGAGCAGTAGCAGCGGCAGTAGGAGGAGGCATGGGTGTAACGGGGAGGTATGTGGGCACAGGGGAAGCACCGGGAGAGGCGCGGCCACAGGTGTGCCGGCAGTGCTCGCTGGGGGAGGTTGCTGCAGCCACGGGCGAGTGGGCCGAGGCGAACCGCATCGGCAGCGGCAGCTTTGGGGATGTGTACAAGGGCGCCAACCCCAACCTGCCGGAGGAGATCTGGGCTGTCAAACGAGCCAAGGTCCTCACCAACGACTTCAAGCGCGAGGTACGCTCTGGAAAACATCGTTAGACGAACAAAAAGGAGCTTGCCCAGTCACGTATGCCTGCTGACACACCAATTCACTTTTGATGCAGGTTAACGAGATGGCAACGAAGAGCCACCCGAACCTGGTGCGGCTGATGGGGTACTGCTTCGACATCAGCCCGGACACGGAGCGCATGGAGCAGATCGTCATCTACGAGTTCGTCGACAACGGCGACCTCGACCGCTGGATCGGCCCCCGTGAGCTCTCAACACCACCTTGGTCTCTTGGGGCTTGTAGGCCGTGCATGTGGGATCATGCACGCATGTTACATGTGCAACGGACAATTGAACTACATCTCCGCAACACTCCGTACTACACATGCATTACGCCCGAACCGTCCATGAAGGGCATGCATGGGGTATCATCTAAGCATTTTACACATGCACTTCATTTCATCAACCTATTTTTGTTGTGCACCTCATTTCCGTTTCATTCTACATGCACTTCAACACTCTGTGTCACACTTGCATTACGCCCGCACCGTCCATGCAGGGTGTCCCCATCCCCTGTCTGTGCGTGTGCGGCTGGACATTCTCATTGGCATGGCTCGTGGTCTCGAGTACCTGCACAGCTTTGGCATTGTGCATCGCGACATCAAGCCAGCCAACATCCTGCTGGATAAGAACATGCAGGTATGGAAAATTGTTTTCCTCACATATTTGTTCGTAATATCTAAGTGACTGGATCTAAATCAATCATTCAATCATTCAATCATTCCAATATTTCTCCCCTGCTGCAGGCCAAGATTGCAGACTTTGGGCTTGTGAGGCATGGCGAGGGCACATCAGTGATTGCCACACGAGTGATGGGCACACCGGGCTATGTGGACCCCGCTTACTACAAGTCACAGAAGGCAACGCCGAAGGCCGATGTGCACAGGTATTGATGAGAATAGGAATTGCAATATTGCAGCCACCAGCCTTTTGTAGGATCAACATTCGAGTGAAACATTTGTGGCTAACGTATTCCTCTATTCTCTTGCAGCTTCGGAGTGGTGATGTTGACGCTCATCACGGCTCGCAAGGCCATCTACAATGTGGATTCGGATCAGTTCAACCTCAAGCAGTGGGTAAGGCCTTCACCGCGTATTGCACAGCGTTCTCAATCCCGATTTTCTCATGTTGTGCATCGTGGTCTGCAAGGCAAATAGCATGAACCCCAATATGAACTTGTATACCTTCCCACGTGCAAATTGACAAACTTCGTCGCCGTGTCCCTCCTCTGTCCCTCCTCGTCCAGGTGGCTCCTCTTCTTGCAGCCGGCGATGCTGCGGCCTTCAAGGACCCGCAGCTGGAGGCGCCGGACGACTTGGTGCTGCGCATGGCGAAGCTGGCCCTCAGCTGCACCGCCATGCCCACGGCCTCCCGCCCCTCCATCAGCCGTGTCCTCGGCAAGCTGCTGGTGATGAAGGAGAAGTTTCTGGGGCAGGAGGAGGACCGGATGGCTGCGAGGATCGACCGCGAGTTGGAGAACTCCACGGATTCCAATCTGAGCATGGAGATCGCCCGCGCTCAGGGAGCTCGTAGTAGCGGAGGGCTGTCAATCAACCCTTAGCCTAGTTGTTGGTCGGTGAGGAGGAGATTCTCTGGGTTCCGTATAGTTTATTGGACTTGCATTTGCAGCAACCCCATTAGTTCCTATGCTCTTTGATGGAACACCAGTTAGGTGCCATGTCGTCAATACGTGGCAGCAACTATGTAGCGACACCTGTGAAAGTTAGTTTTGAGTGTAAGGCTCGTGAAAAAAAAATGAAATTGGTGGTAACCGGTTTCGGCTCGAAGCCTTCTTCAGACCACAGGGTCCTAACGAGAACAAACACTACTTATATGCCTAGAAGATGTCGCTCAGGATTCATCTTGTGCGGGGAAACCGTCGCGGAGAAAGTGGGGACGCAACAAAAAACGAAATAAGGGCAAACAGTAAAAACTATTGTATTCTAGCACTTATGAGCAGAAATTAAAAAAATCTCAATTCTCTTCGCCAACCTCCATGCGTTAATAGCTCTCCTTGAAGCGAAGGTGTTGTGTGACATTGTAACGAGGTGACTTTTGAGTCGACTCAAAAGTTTCCCCACGTGTGAACGGGCAACTAAGGGGTTGAAACATTTCAACACAAGGGGCCCACGTTTAGGAGATTCGCGAAATGAGGAAGCGCAAGTGAGAAGTTCGTTGCGAGAGGCAAAAGAGACTGACTTGAAGACCGGTAGCAGAAATTTCTCCGGGTACCCTCTGGCTCTTAGCCGAGCAAAGAAAAGGGCCCTGGAATTCAGGAAGTCAGCTCGTGATGAAGACCGCAGCAAGAATCTGTGCAGTTCGCTCCGGATGAAACCAAGTTTGGTAGTCTGGGAATGATAAGACCTGAAGGGTAAGTACAGATACCGATTCATCAACTTCTGAAACAACTTGACGTCCAAAACCCCGGAATTCTTGATACACATGAAGTCCTTTTCAGGCCCAGTGTTTTTTCGGGCGGGTGCTCCAAAATCGAGCACTTAACTTTTACGGGCGATTTGGGCCAATATAGGGTAGTCTGGTTACCTCGTTGGCATTTTCCAGTCTAAAGCGGGTGACCATTGTTGTTTTTTTTGCGTTCCTCGGGCAACAGTGTAAGGTATGAGAACATCTAGTCTGCACGTTTGGAGGTCTCCGTATCAGATGTGGTAACTGCTGCAGATATTTGGGCCTGTGTTGATTGGGCTGTTGCCCGTGCGTTCGGACCAATGGGACTGTAAATAGACACGTGACATCTAATGAATGAGCGTGAAAAGGACATCATGTGTATGCTCCCCTTTGAAGAAAGTAACGTTCAGAAAATCCATTGAAGTGTCAGACAAAACCCATGTCAGGCGAATTGAAGGATGAAGCGTGTAAAAACGCGCTTTTAGCCGTTGAAAATCTTCCTTCGACCCCTCCCACAAAATCAAACCGTCATCGATGAAACGAAGGTGTAGAGCGGGGGGTGAAGGGATCGAACGGTACAGCTGAATATCCAGGAAACTCATGAAAAGGACCGAGAAGCAAACTGTGACTGAAGTCCCCATGGCGGTTCCGTGAATTTGGCGGAATCTGCCGATAAAAAAGTAACATAGCTGTTGAACATCACCCACTTCAGCAGACGAGTGACCAGCGGAGCTAACGGACGTCTAGCCCTCTGAAGGAAATAAGAAAATGCATCGACCCCGTCAAGTAGGGGAATCGACGGGTATAAAGATTCCACGTAGTAAGATGCGAGGAAAAGATGATTAGAAAAACGTCGCTGCTCAAGTTGGAGAACAAGACTTTGCGAGTCTTTGACATAAGTGGACTGCTGCAAGACCAGAGGTCGAAGTACTACATCCAGCCAGCGAGAAACATTAGACGTCACCCAAGAATGACAAGCCGCGATTGGTCGACCAGCCGAAACTTTTTTATGAATCTTCAACAAGACATAGAACGCTGGAATCTTCCATCCGCTCTTAGGAGCCTTGTAAAAAGAAGCCCACATCAGTTCCCCAAATTGCAGACTTTTTACTCTGATTCAGACCTTTTCAGAGTTTTTTGGGGGTATACCCCGATCCCTAAAACTTTTTTTCTATGTTACTCTGATTTTTCAGAGAAGTTTTATGTACCTACGCTGATTTTTCAGACTTCTTTTACAAGTGTACTCTGATGCTTCATCCTTTTATAGGGGGGGGGACTCTGATTCCTCTAATACCGTCATTTGAGGGGGGGGGTGCGAGATTTGCGCGGGTACCTCTTTCGTCACCGTCAATCACGTCGAATTTACATTTGCGCTGGCGCGGCCCGAGCCGTTGGGCGGACAAATTTTGTGCGATGGCACCAGCACAAAGATAGCCCGAGCAACCGATTGGTCCTTGACCAAAACACGGCTGTTTTCGTCAATCCAGAGGCGTTTTGATGGGCAAGGCACAACAGATGAGGCACCGCACCCATGCCGACGCGATGAGTGGCTGGTTCATTCATGCATGGACAGCATCTCGTGCGCCGTGATGGAGTTGCAGCTGGCAGACCCCCTCCTTCTCCATCAAATCACAACTGACGGGGAAAACGACCTTGCTTGTCCCCCCTCCAGCAAAGCTTCACCCAAGCTTTGTGTAGCCCCTCGGTTTTCTATCAGTGCGTTTTTTTTCCCACCGCGCCTACAGGCCATGGAGCAGGCCGACCTCGATGAGGACGTAGACGAGGCAGATTATGACGAAGAAGAAGAAGAAGAAGAGTATTGGTGTGCCGAGAAGTTTCGCGATGGTCGCGCCGCGCTAGAGTTCCTGCGGCAGTCCGATGCCTCCGATCGTAGCCCTCCGAGGAAGCCTAGTGACGCTGCCCCTGCTGATGGCGATGCGCATGTTCCCGACACATTAGGCAAGAAGTCTGCGGATGCAAGTCCCCTGCCCGCTGCTTCAGCTCCTGTCGCTGGCACCACGCCGTCGGTGACGGCGACGAAGAGATTCCGCTACAGGCAGGTGATTCTGCCATGCGCCTCCATGTTCGACATGCCAGGATCCGCCTGAGCCTGTGCCGAGCCCCTCTGTACCTGTGGATACGCCAGAATCATCTGGCGGCAGGTCCACTGCTAGAACGAACGAGGACATCTATGCTGAGGCACAAGAGCGTTTCAAATCTCGCTGGTCTGACAGATTCCCTTGGCTCATGCTCTTGAAAACTGACGATGGGCTCCCGCCCTTCAAGTGCAGTGCATGCGCAATGCATGCAGGACTTGCAGAGCGTACCGGCAAATCGGGCAAGGGAGCTACCGACGTGCAGACCCAGTCGTTCAAGAAGCACGCCGGGACTCAGAAGCATCACCTCGCCATGTCCAAGCAGGACGATCTCCTGCAACTGGCGTCGAACCAGCAGCGGATCGACATGCATCCCCGCACGGTTGACGAAGAGAAGGAGCGAGTCATCGCGCTGCTCGACTCCCTCTACTTATGGGCCAAGTGTAACGAACCCATGGAAACATGAATTCGTTTGGTGCCTACCTCTCACCGCGCGGTTTCAAGGGCTTCCTGAAGTCCCCCTACGGCACGTAATATAACTGGTGAGAACTCCAGTGACTATGAACTTCTCTTTGTCTTGTCTTTACATATGAAAATTACAACGAGTTGGCTTGTGTGTGTCGTGTAACAGGTACGGCTTCGGCGGGCTGACACAAGCAACGGCAGTGTGGCTGCAGACGACTCAACTCCAACACCTGCTGGCCAGTCCCTACATTGGCCTGAGCCTCGACGAAAGCACCGATCACTGCCGTGGCAAGCACATGATCGTGTTTGCCACGTTCATCCGGGAAGGGCGGCTTGTAACCGAGTACCTGGCTCTGCTGACAGTGGATAAGGTGGATTCAGCATCGCTTCTCTCACTCTTGTTGTCCCATCTGCAGGCGACTAGCGTCGACCTCGGCCGCATCTCTGGAATAAGCACTAACGGCTCTGCCGTAATGATGGGATCGCGCTCTGGACTTGTGGCCCGCCTTTGATTTCATGTTCCGCATCTTGTCTCTTGCCATTGCATCGCCCATCAGTTCGTCATCCATTTGCATGTATATTTGCTTCATGGTTTGTTTATAATGCCAATCCCTAATTTCCTTCCTAGTTTTCATCTCATCTCCCTATCCCACGTAGAGAGGCGCTGGCGGCGAAGGCGTCTGCCGAGGAGATCCCCGTCTTCAACATGGTGGACAACGTCATTCGCGAGATCGCTGAGCTGCTCGGTCGCTCCAACCCTTGGCATCAACGGTTCCTGGAGCTCCAAGACGTGTTCATATCGACAAACCTCAAGCTCCAAGGCATCCACAACATCTGCTGGCTGTCGCGCGGGGATGCGGTCATCCGCCTGGTTGAGGTCCTACCGGCTATTGTGGTCATGCTGCACGAGTATGACGCCAAGCTGTACACGCTCGTCACCAGTTTCCTGCCTCTGGCTCCTCCTGGTGTTCCTCGCCGACGTGCTGGAGCTGCTGAACGTCCTCAACAAGGTTTTCCAGCAGCAGGAGGTAGACTTGTTTAATGCTTGTGTTTGCATGCTTGTCGATGTCGCTGCTTGTCTCTGCCATTCGTCCCTTAAACACACATCCATCTATGGTGCCCTTCCTCTCCTCGCCCCCCTACCCAACAGCTGGACTACATGACAATGCAAGCGCAGATCATCCGCACGACCTCACTGCTAGAGAGCCGCTACGTGGACTGCGGAGACGACTTCACCGGTGGGCCCAACGATCGATTGACGCGGTTCCTCGCCAAGCACAGGCGCGGCAAGTCCAAGCTAGTGACAGTGGAGGAGATCGACTCCGACGGCCGACCTTCACGGTTCACCTTCGAGCTACACGAAGAGCTCCAAGAGGACTACCTGGGGCCCAGCGACCACGATGGGAGGGTCGTGGCATGCATGGCTCTGGTGGAGGGCCTGGTCTGCAACCTCGACGAGCGCCTAGGCAATCTGCGGCAGTTGTTGGGAGCGCGCCTGTTCGGCGTCGACATATGGCCACCCAACTGGGACCGACAGGCACGGAGGACGCAGTGCCTTGAGTGGTTCAACTCGCTCGTGGTCATCTACCGCGCTAAAGGCAGTGACGAGATTCTGCCATGTGAATCACCGTCTATTCTTGCCAGTATCCCTTCGGCAATGTATCTGTTCAACAAGACACCTATCTTTTACTAGCCGTGTACTGTTTCTGATAACCCAACCCTTCTCCCTCTCCTTGTGTGCCCTTGTCTAAGCATGTGTAGACAAGCGCAAAGCCCA